TAATCAACGGAAACTTTTTTAAATTTCAATAATCTTTGATCCAGTAGCATGTAATAATAATAACAACAACAATAATAATTTCGATCAGGAAAGGAACGAAAATTTTTGAATTCATTCAAATCGCCTGACTTACACTGGCATTCTGAGAGCCACTGACCGGTTTAATGAGTCACAGAAGAGCATCATCGCTCGAGGACAGCACCACGAGTACTTCTCACGCACTCAAAGTATCGTTAATTTTTCGAGTTGGTCGTGAGGTTGGCTCGAATCACTGACGTTGTTATTACTGGAAGTAGTAGCGGCCAACGCATTCATATCGAGATCATCCAACCAATAGAATGAATCTTTCGATTTTGGCGTTTCTAATTTTGACGTTGCATCACTTTCTTTCGATGTCTCATTCTGAGTATTATTTGTGCAGTGATGAGAATCATTCGCATAAACCTCTTCCATATTAACATTATTCAGCGTTGTTAATTGCTTTTGTTTATCGAACGTTTCGAGTATTTTCTCTTTATTCGCCAAGATATTCTCCGCACCTTCGAGAGCATTCTTCAAACGCGTCAATTCCGATGACTTTTGTGCTAAATTGCCATCCACTTCACCTAAATTAACAAAAAATATACGTGTGTATCAATCTTGTTGGAATTAACACTGATAAGAACCCATCAACGAATAATGAAAACTGAATCAGTGAATATATACTTGTAAATACATTAACAGGTTTTAAGGAATCACCTTTCGAGTAGTCTGTTGTTGTCATTAGTGTGGTTGGTATTGTCTCAAAAGGTACATTCATTTGATGCTTCGCTGGATTGTTCAAAGGCTTCAACTGATAATAACTATATCCATAAGGATTAGTAATATTATCAGTGCTGTCCATATTGGTATGATTTGTATTCGCAACATTGTTCATCACTTCTTTTTCACCAATTTGCAGCAGAGGGGTGGTGCTGATGTTTTGCTGGTAATTATTGTTAAATGGTTGAATGAATGCAGAACTTTGTGTTGATGGATGCTGCTGACCAACTGGAGTCATTATGATGTTGGACGTGAGTGACTCGAACGATGGCAGAGGTTGTTGTGCCTGACTGCTCATTGCATTGTTGTAGTACGTCACAAACACTGGTGCATTCAGTGAATTCGTCACTTGCACTTGACTATATGAATGATTAGGTATTACATTCATGTAGTCATTATTGACCATACCATCATTACTGTTACTTACAATCACCTATAAAAACCATTGTATATGCTACTGAAAGCATTTTATTCTCGTAATTTTACATGAAATATAACGTTTCAACGCGATTCAAACGTATCAAAAAGATCACCGGCTTAATACTGTTAGTTGTTTCAAATACTACTCCGACCGATCATTGAGCGCGTGTTCAATCAATCGCGGATAGTGCTTTTTGGGGCTCATTTTGAGTCCCCCTTTCAAGAAATCATTTAGCAGTACGGTAGAGTAGCCCTATACCTCTGTGCTGCTCGTTAACACAATACTCGAAGTTGGGATTTCATGAAAACGGATGATTTGCTGTGCTGTTATCGTTAGTTGCGCGGAATGATGGGTATCAAGGAATGAAGAATGTAATATTTGCTACTTTGGTGATAACATAAACTTGTAATGACTTGTAACTGCCGATTCATTAAATAAATAGATAAATAAATAAATAAGAGACTAGCAGACCGTAATGCATGATATTTGCATGCAACAACAATGAACAACTTCAACGAGACGTTCAAAGCAATTGACTGAATCGCATCGAAAAGCTAACACAACACTAAATACGAACATTAACGAAACAAACCTCTTGAAAAGAGGGTGAATCGTTGATGGCGTTCGGAGGAGTGAATGGGTGCAGTGAAGAATGAGCTTGACTCAAATTCGATTCGTAAACTGGTGTGAATTGTTGAATATTGGAAGGTGACGATAAAGGATGATCGTTAGGTGTTAGATAATAGGACGGTGACGATGGATGGTAGAACGATGAGGCGGCGTGCTCGTAGACCCCCGATCGCTGATTGAAACTCATTTTCGAACGAGATTCCTCTGAATCAACAGCAGCACACACCTCAGAGGACGCAGTCCCCGAAGTGGCCGTTTTGCGATTTATGATCGATTCGAAAAAGGTGCGATTACCAGCCAGTAACGCTTCCTCCCATGCCTTTGTATTAGCTCTGAAAAGCTGATACCGTCAACAAATACAATGTCGTCAATGCTTTCGATATAAATCGCACCCAAAAGATAGCGTAATACTTAGAAGATGAATTTTATCCGATTATTGCCAGATTATTCCGATGTTTTCCGTTATTTCAAGTCGATATTATTCACAATTTCACTCGTCCGCTCAGTATAACGGCAACACAACAACGATCCGTCAGTTTTCATCCGAACAAAGTATCTTTGCATCATGCAAACGCAAACATACAAATGAAATGAATGACCTTTTCAAGTGAATCGTATGCAATAAATTCGAATGCATCTGTCCACGCGACACATCACAATCAATTTTCTCCACATCAATAATCGCATCACCGTCATCATCCGGAATGCCTTGTGGAGTGCAATACAATTGTTTTGGTACATTCCTCAACTGCAACATTCGATTCGTTGCTACGTCAATGACCATTCACTGAATCCAAATAAATGCATGATTGAATTTCAAATGAGCGCGCATGAACAACTGACTAAAAGCAGTGAGAATGTGCCTAAATCCATACATTTAATTCTTAAAAGTCGTTGTTTCTATATTCTATTCTGTTCTATTCTATTCTATTCTATTTTATTCATAACATTCAAGAATCGGCATTCCTTACATCATAAATGTTTTTCAAATGACAACAAGTGATTTACTCGAAACAAACAGATAGAATTGCATGTTCGTTCCGAATCTACGCGATGAATNCAAAAAAAAAACTGTAGGAAAGTTGTCTAATACGATACGATTTGAATAAATTGAATAAACTTCGTACAGTGATAAAAATAATTTTCTTATGGAATGTGATATTGACGATGTCATCGAATTGCATTGAATACGCCACTCTATAGCACTGATCGTCTAGTTCATAGTAGAATGCGTAAATCATTGTCTGGCTCGAGAAACAGAAACGTACAACGCCACGTGACTCTCCGCGATCACCATCCACCTGTAAACTGCTCATTGCCTCAGATAAGAAGGAAAAATCTGCTTTGAACCAGAAAGAAACCAATCAATGGAATACTCATTACCAACCACATATTAACGACCCACGCCCAAACTGGCAATCTATAAACCTCGTATGGCATCACATTTGGGTGTATCTTAACCTCTTTTGCTCAAATTCGATTCAAGTTTACTCTTAGGTTGGCACTTAAGCTTATGGTCAGGCTCGAAGTAACGCATAAGCTTGTAAGAATCTGAACTACACCCGCACATCCTGCTAGACCCCAAGAGGTTTCAGATTATCAATCTGGGCGTTGTTTGTTGGCAGGTTGCTGACAACGCCAGTTTACTGTTTGAGGCACTTTGACACGTTTATTCGTTTGATCCGATGACAAATGATCTGTGGGAAAAAATGCAAATGCGTAGCTGACAGTGAGAAAAATATACCGTAAAAGAACCAATACTTATTTTGCTGAATTCAAATTCTGCGGTATTCTGATCAGTGGTGCGTCCCAGAGAACCTATAAAAAACATTACGCTTACGACAGCTGCAATCACATATATTTAACAGTATTCTACGCGCAAATATTGTCAGCAAATGAGGAGTGCGAAATGAAGCAAAAATTGATCTCAAGCAGTGAATCTAATCGTCAATTGCCGTTTGAACTAGAAGGATTATTGGGGTCATTCTGTAATAGCACCAAAGATGACCTGAACAATAGTATTATCACTTACTACTCAAACAAATGGCTTTTATCTGTGACGTTTACGATACCAATGAAATGAACATTTCAACAGCACCAAACATAAGACATACCGTCCGCATGTTTTTTACGAGGACGTGGTCGACTGCTTGAAGAACTTTTGACACGTTTATTCGTTTTATTCCTTGACAAATTACCAATCAACGAGTCAATATTGGCATTCGACTCTTCTTTACCGTCACTACTTTCCGCATCTCGCTTCGCAAGCTGCAAAACGACCGCCGAATTCATTGAAAATACGCTGATTCACTGCGCTGAAGCCGCAAAACTGATAGTGGAACGAATTAACTTGGAATGAAATATTGACGGAAGCATTACGAAAGGATTACTTCATCGCCCAATTGCAGAATAATTTGAAGTTGTCGCGCGGTAATACACGTATACAATGCTGTCCGCATAGATGCTCGATGTCTGGGCGATGAGGATCCTGATCGATTGCTCTTCTTCCTACCACTTTGGTCGTCACTCCTTAACGCACCTTTCGCATTCTCACTACCGGTGCTCTTCTTTACACATCGATTCGGCGACATAATTGAATGTTGATTATCAGATTTAACTCTGCAATAATCAACGTATTCAGTTTGAATGATTAAAAAATGCATCATCTATAAGTGAATTGAACACAATTCATCCATTCATTTCACCCATCTTCATCAACATATCTCAATCTGTTCCACGACAATCCAGAATACCCAAAAATAACATCAAAAAAATCTCTTAAGCAAAATTATGATGGATCTAAACAGACAAACAACCTTGCCAACCGATTTCGACGCAAAACAATAAGCTAAACTGAAAGTGTTTGCAACCAAACTTCATTCAAAAGAAATTCCTCAAACAGCGCCACGTAAGCAAGTATCCATTACCTTCTAATCTTAAGTATCGCCACGTCATAGTACCGCTTTCGTCCCTCCAAACGAAGTTCTCAATCGCTTTCGCTTCATCACTTCATCAGTCTGTGCCGCTTATCGTTCGACGAACGGCGCGTTTCGTGGATCGGGCGATTGACAAAGGCCAAAAACGTGGGAGAATTGTCGGTGAATGGGTCGCCGCGGATGAACGATAGCTTAATCGAGCATCCTTCACGTTTACCACCATCGATATCCATCTCATATTTGTTATGAATACTGAAAATATTTGGGGAATAATGATTTTCTGGAGCGTTGAACTGAACAAGCATCGAGAACCCTTCCACCCTCCCCCCTACAATCTTAAGACCACTCCATACTAATCGTAAATTCTGCCAAATAAGAGAGGGAACACAATCTGACTATGAGAAAGAATCGCAGGTGTTTTTTCTCTGAATCATGAAAAATGTAAAGCAAAACTGAGCTTGCTTTGACTAACTAAACAAGACCAACCCAACCCAAGCTTTTCACTGATTCATTGGCCACTCAGTGCTACTTCTGGCAGCGAGAAGTATCCTTTCTCCAACTCAACCAACCAAGTCACCTCAACAATTCAACCGCTAATACCCTCACTTGAACTGACACACTTTCTCGATCTTCATTGCCTCGTAGTAAGGCTATTAAATCCTACTAATATCCCTCTTTCTATGTGTATTTGTACTACTACGCACATAAAATACTTGACAAAATGGTTGAAATGACCTGATTGATCGTATCGAAATAATTTTTATGGACAAATTGAAGAAAATGACTTTACTCAATCACTTCCACAAAAACAACACAGAATTAATTCACATGTTTTATGAAAGAGTTGCGTACATTATTCATTGGATGAACTGATTCGCGAAAATTTTCTCGTTTCCATTATGAACGATCACAGATATCGAAATTTTGAAAAACAAAACGAAACGACAATTTCGAATGCAAAATAAACGAATATAATACACAAACAATAAATATTTACACGTTACGATTCATGCCGCTACAAATATTCAAAAAGAGTTTTTTCATTAAAGCGTAACTTTCTATTACATGTATTTTAGAGTATTTGCAAATGGATTGTGAACAAAATTCGATATATTACACATATTTACATATGAAACGGGATATTTCTATGCGCATCAAATTTGTTTCAGAAATTCTCTGCTCAAGTTTTTTACACCGAACTTCCTCCGACTATCAACACTTCTCTCAAATTTGCAAATGAAGGAAAACATTTGCGAATGATTTTAATCTTTTCAATTCCTCTCTGGAAGAACTACGAAGACTTCTTCTCTCGTTAAAGAAAATCGACAATCAACTCAGCAATTATCTAGTGAAGGGACTGAATTCTATAATGTACAAACGGACAAATGTGCTCATTACAAACGCCAAACATTCCTACCTACTTCGTTGGTTTTCATCAATTGAAATATCACCACTTCCTTGCGAAGCAAGAAATGAATATTTACCGAACGAACGAATCAACTAAGCTCAAAACCGGTATCAGAATGGATGGCATATCTTAACTTTTCTAGTAAAATTGATTTCCGTGAGTAATTCGGTAGTTTCAGTAAATTGAAACAAGTTGATGTGGTTGGCAAACGAGTTGGAGACTGCCTTCGTTTGATTGCTAAGAATCCACGCACAACACTCGCCAACGTATCGCCTTGATCCTTAAATAATCCCGATCAAATGTTCTCTTCTTTCATTGATGCTGCGCATTGTAAGCATTCATACCGCCAAAAATCAGTCAAAGTGTTGGCAACTAATAAAATAATGAATACCAAAGTTAATAAAGGCTCGAATAATATTATATGTGAACAATAAGATTACGAAAAACTGAACGGATGTTCATTGATAACGTATAAACGATATATAAATGAGTAAATCCAGAATTGAACGCCCAAACCTG